ATCTGCATCACCACCTGCCTGGTTGCAGAAAGAGGACAGCTGGGTCAGCTCAGCACTGACATACCATGGAGTAGTTTAGAAGATAGATTTTGACAGATAGAATCATCATCATTCACATCCTCATCAGAACATGCTTGCTTACTTACTTACTTACTTACTTACTTACATTAGGAATTTAACGTGCGCTTTCCGACATATGCGTATTTCGCGCACGGGCCCGCCAGGCCATTTGGTGTTTGGTCGAAAAAGGGTATGTCCGAAAAGGTGAGGCAACCTAGGTGGGGCTCTTTAGGGTTGCTTACTTAATTTGGAGAACAATTTTAGATTCTCTTTCAGAAAAAATCCTCCTTGGGGCACTTATTGCATTTTCCTTGCTCAAGAAAATCTACATGACATAGTTGTAACCATTTTCCTTAATAAAAATGTAACCACACAAAAAAACAGCGTTATTGTATGATATATGACCACCCCAACGGGGCCTTACCCTCTACAGGCGACACAGGCCAAGGGGAGTGACTCTCTCCCAAATCACTTTTCCTTATGTCATCAGACTGTATTGTGGACAGACGTACTTCTAAGACTGCTGAGAATTTAACTTCGTCCTACTTATCGTGGAATATTGAAGACATGGCTCAAACTGTATGTGTTGTATTTTTCCCTTTCTTTCTTGCAAAGGCGTTATTCCTCGCATTTTTTGGTTTTTATATGTTGTACCTCGGGCGCCACGTGCTCGTTTCACGTATGGCGGCCGCTGTGTAGCTTATTCTGTTTTGGTGAAATTCCATGTTCGGGCACAACCGACATGGCCAGGTTGCAAGTTACGTGTGTTTTTTCCGCTCGGGGTGGGGGAGGTTTACTTCGCTCCCTTTATATGTTACAAATGTATACACGGCCTTGGCTCTCAATATCGCGTGTCGCATTTTCGTTACGCATATGTTGTGTTGTAATTATGCATGTATCTTTCTGCATTTTCGCAATTCGCACTGATACATATCCCGGGGGCAGGCATACGTTCGGCAAAATCTGACAACAGGGTTCATTGCCTGTTGCCTAAAGTTCCCGTGGGCGGCCGACTCTTTCTCTTCCTGACGGACTGGGTGAAGGTGTCCTCCAATCCCTGAGACAATACCCTGGTTCTACCACCTTTAGGTGTAATTACGTCGCATGCCCCTGGTTCACGGTTCGTCTGATCTCCCGTCATAAAACCACGATGTTTATTTACCTGGAGCCTCAGACAGCGCTGACGTTAAACGTACATGGCAGTAAATGGTTTGACAGTTGTTTGACGGAATCCCCCCCCCCCCCCCCCCCCCCCCAACTCCCCCCCAACTCCCCCCCAACTCCCCAACTCGTACGCAAACATGACACATAGGGGGATTTGTTATATTGCATAATATATACATCAGACGTTACGAACACTGACACATAATGATAATTTTACACAACTTCTTAAACTATACCGCCCATGATAAAATCTGAATGTTTCTCGAAGAATAATTGATTCACTTTGTTGTTAAACATGATAACTGTTTACAAATATATACATTAATCTGTCGGTTTGGAACTATTATCCTTTTTTGTAATCAGAGTAACAAAAAATAAGTTTATTATTTATTATATATAGTTTAAACTCAATAAATAATTCATAGTATTTTTATTGTTCAAATTACAAATAAAACATATTTTAACCTGTTCCTTCTAACCATACTTCCAAACAATTCCAAACCATTCCAAACATTTCCTGTGTTAGAAATATGTTTGGAAATGTTGCCAATCCAATTTTGGAATGGACGCTCCTTGGTCTTGTGATGCACTGTGTCAAAGGCCGCCACACTTATCCTCAGATCTGACGATTACAGAATACCACTATCACATGAATAACTTAACTTAATTAATATTAATATAGAAAACGCTTTAGGGCTTAGAACACAACCTTGTCGTAATACAAATGGACAGTGCCAAATATATGTAACATATTTAAGTGGTTTAACAAGCGTGTCAAAGGATCTTTTAGATAAAAAAAGGTAACACTTAGTTCACCCTTTTCCATATTTCCAATGTTGTAGATATATGTTTGTACATCTAGTCTAATACCTCCATCAGCGATCTGGATGTATATAAAGTTCAATTTAGTGTCGTCTGCAAGAACTTCCATATATACGTATGCGTAATGGACACAAGTCCCATTCGATATATCAACGTGAATGGGTAAACTGTTTACTTGAATAATTGTGGCATTTTTGCTTTTCCCTGAGACCCAAAGAACGTGAGTATTTCTACTGGTCTTCAGCAACCCATGCATGTAGTAAAAGGCGACTAACGGGATGCATGTTATCGTATCCCATTTGCGTGATCGACGCTAACGATGTCAATCACTGGATTGTCTGGTGAAGACTCGACTATTTACAGACCCCTGGTCAATAACCGGAATATCGCTGAGTGTGGAGTTAAATAACAAATAAAAATGTATTAGTGGCCTTAAATGTTGCTTCACGCTATGTGGAGTCCGAAGTAGAAGTTGCCTCAAGTAGCATATGCTTGTCGTAAGAGGCGACTTACTTGAACTGGGTGGTCGGACTCGGTGACTCGGTTGATTGAGTGTCACAGTACCCCGAGTGTGTTAATATGTGTTCTTGCCGTGGCTACTTGAAGCAAGTATACCCAACACACCTTTTTGATTACAATGGATATATTATATGTTTTTTATTCTGTTATGAATAAATGTCTTTGTTATTATGTACCCCATAGTTTGAGTTCTTTGTGTGCACTGGGGGCACGGGTGGCCCAGTCGTCTAAGGCGCCGAGGTTCGCTGTGCAGAACTGCGTCCCTTGGGCACGCCAGAAACCTATGATTGTGGGTTCGAATCCCGGTTCGCCCCGATTATGTTTCTAGGTTTGTCAGCACCATACCCGTGCTCGTGGGTTTCACCGAAGTGGTAAACGTCTGAGACCTGCATCACTTCGGACTTTCCTCCCACATTAAGCTGACACGCCGTGATATAACTGGAATACTGTTAAAAGCGGCGTTAAATCCAACTCACTAACTCACTCACTTTGTGTGCACTTAATGCATGGGTATGGTGTTATACGCTTCAACCAATGTTACGGGTATGTCACTGCGGCGTGACGTGCCAAAACTTGATTGAGACACTGAGCTACCTTACTGCTATTATGGACATATTTTCTTCACACGTATTACATTAACAAATATTAAAGTGCACACTATCATCTGTCGAGACAGGACTTACAAAAGGCGAAATCAATTGTGCCGAATGTACTATGATTCATAATATATTTCAGCCACGTTTTAAATCGCAGCATGTATGTTCCTTTAAATTGTGGCTAGATTTGTCAATAATCGCCAACAGCTGAAGGGATGATGTAAATCCGGCTGGGGTCCATGCAGGTAGCAAAAGTACTGTAAGTCCCCATGGACCCTAGCATGGTGGTCTACCTTAAGCTGCTGGCGATCTACAGCCCGTTTTTATATTGTATCGTCTGTATTGTATCTGATTATTTTATTTAACTAGTTTTAAAACTATAATCTGTGATATATTGCTGGTTGTTGTATTGTCCTTCGATGACAGCTTTAATATATAATATAAATGCATAACATGTTCAAGTCACGATATGGCTGAAATACTGCCGATGTGACTTTAAATGTTAACTCACTCACTGATTCATAATAATTCTTCTTTGAACTTTGTTTCTATGTTCATGTGTTATCACCGTTAAGATAGTCATAATACGGACCTCTGTCTAAATCAGACTCACTTTCGGCCCCAAGTAAAACGTTCATTTCGCCCGGAAAAACAAAATGACGCAATGATGTCCAAAGAGACATTCCACTGAAGCACACAGTACACATTGAACGTCCCTTGCATGAATGCGTGATGCGAATGCGACGGGGTAATACTCTCAAATGTAGGGAGGCAAAAGAAATGTCAAAGCTTTTTATACATGGGTTACGGTGTTCTCAGCATTCCAGAGAATTTTACTGCGCTCGTCCTTACGGTAGACTACACAAAATGCATGGTGATAAATGATGATTGAATATCGACATTTGTTTGTTTGTTGTTTAACGCCGCACTCAGCAGTATTCGAGCTATGTGACGGCGTCTGTAAATAATCGTAAATAAATCACCTATAATAAAAGGCGACTATGCTTGTAGTAAGAGGCGACTTTCGGGATCGGGTGGATCACTGGATTGTCTGGTTAGACACGATTATTTACCGACCGCCGTCATATAACCGGAATATTGCTCAGTGCGGCGTAAAACAACAAACAAACAAACATAAAATCGACATGTCCGACATTATAGACGGCGGTCTGTAAATAATCGAGTCTGGACTAGACAATCCAGTGATTGACATCATGAGTATCGATCTGTGCAATTGGGATACGATGGCATGCATCCACCAAGTCAGCGAGCCTGACCACCCGATCCCGTTAGTCGCATTTTACGACAAGCATAGTCCCCTTTTACGGCAAGCATGGGTTGCTGAAGACCTATTCTACCCCGGATCTTCACGGGTCATTATGTTCTGGAGGAGGGGTGGAATGCTGGAATTTTTTCGGGAACAATCTGGAGGCCCCGACAATTCCCGAAGAAAATATTTATGCAGCACATTTGTCTGCCATAAAACTTACATTGTAACGAGGTGTTTTAATTACTAAAATATCTGGTTTTGGAGCTGTAGCTGGAAAGTAAGTATCTAATCTCCAGACAATGTCCAAAGCTTGCCGACAGTGGAACCCCCCACCCCCCTCCCCACGCACACATACCCACCCACACATACCCACCCACACCCAAATACCCACCTACACCAAACTACTGTCTGCCGCCATGTTTCCTGCTGATGTGTGATGTATCGTCTATGTCATCCTTACAACGTCACACAATCACATATCTCAATGTGTGTTGTTTATGTTGATAAGCCATTCACCCACCTCACTCACTCACTCGTCCGGACTACTACAAGCAAACAGACACACTCGCGAGACTGCAAGTGTTTTTTTGCAAATGGTATCTGGACGATTTTCTGGACTATGAAACAATATGGTAATGTGGCATTTAGAAGCATTTAATAACATTGTTCAGAGGAATAAAAAGTTCTTTTCTGTAGCGAATTGCTAACCAAATAAAGTTCATCCGTCAACTAATAATATGGCCCCACCAAAGTATGAGGAAGTATCACCATAGACGAAGTGGAATGACGACATCTCCACCCAAGCATACTCTCCTCTGTCCAGATGGGTGACAGTTACAGCAGAAGCATCAGCGTAATTACTACTCGTGTGTGGTTTCAAGTATCCGGTTACTATGTTCACTCCTCCTGACTTCTTGATATAGACGTACGTGTACGAGGTTGAGTTCCACATTTCCAGGTGCGTCCAGAACATGTAGGTTCCAGAGACGGGTGCAGTGAACTTCCCAGTGGTTGTGTTGTAGGCAGAGCCAGCGTTGTAGTCGACGTGACTGAATTTCAGGGGGATGTTAGCAGGTGATCTGATTAGTTGGAGGGAGACTTGGAAAGATGCCTTTCTTGATTTTGATGCTGAATAAAAGCAAAGAAGTCACATTTTAAAAGAAAGACTGCATTATTATCAACATCATCAAGGATCACGAAGTCATTATGAAGGTTGGTTATCATTCACTCCTGTCATGACTAGTGAAATTCACAGTAGGTCTTCAGCAACCCATCCTTGTAAGAGGCAACTAACCTTAGGGTCAAGGCTCGCTGACTTGGTAAGTGCATGTCATCGTATCCCAGTTGCGTAGATCTATGCTCATGACTCGATTATTTTCAGAGACAGTCGTCAAAAAGCTAGAATATTGCTGAGTGCGACGTTAAACAACAAACAAACAAAAGTTCATTTCATTGCGTTACTTGGTCATGAAAGTAACAAATATGTTTTTATGAATCTGGTGACAGTAATTGATATGAAGTAACTGTAGGTCCCCATCAACTTATGCTTGTCGTAAGACGGGTCTAAATAGATCGGATAGTCAGTGGCTCAGTGACTAATTACAAGTCAGCGTATCCAAATTGCTGTGAACTCTGCTGCTCATGATATCAACGACTTGAATGTCCCTTTATTTTCAGACGGCTATCACACAACTGGATCACTAAAGCAACTAAATATGGATTTAACAAGAAAAAACGACATATGATTTCGATTAGTTATCAATTTTGAAAATATACCTGCGTAAAACGGATGAAGTATATTATGTAAAGTAATATTTGCGGAAATATATTCTAATTGAGAGTGGGAAGAGGGTGTGGAACCTGTCGTCTATGGATCAGGAACTCATTCTGCAAAGTTTGGCCCCTACCTGACTTTGGTTTATGTCTGTAGCTACAACAACGTCTAATATCCGCATCACCTGAGTCATTCCATATTGAGCTGACACGCCGTGATGCAACTCTGATCCTGAGTTTCAACAAACGCACCCTCTTACTAAGTCAAATGGAGTCGATGGTGCGGTATAGAGCAACTGGTATAGATGAGTTAACTCTAGAATTGAACTTGTACTTCTGAAAAGCATCTCATATCCAACATCATTTGTTTTATGTTTGTTGTTTCACGACGCTCGATCATGATATCATGAGCATCGGTCCACACAATTGGGATCGGTGACATGCATCAACCAAGTCAGCGAGCCTGTCCACCTGATCCCGTTAGTCGCCTCTTACGACAAGCAAATCCAATATCATATATTTTCAGTCTCCACTGACTTATAATCATAACTTCCACTTTGGACCAAACAAATGAATAAAAACAACACACTGAAGCAATTACTTACCAAGTGCCATGACCAACTGCATATTGTCCAGCGATTGGTTCTGTAAAATGGACAGGTTATCGGAAGATACCCGCAGTTCTGCCTTCAGGGACGCCATTTCATTTTTCAGAGAAGAAATCTCAGCAGCTGCCTGTGCCTTGTTGGCCTGTAGATCTGATTGTAGTTGCACAGTCGTTGTCTGAAGGCCGGTCACAGTCTGTTCGAGAAGGGTGACGTGGCTTAGAAGGCTGGTTAGATCTGTGCTACCGTCCGGCGTTGTCTGAGGCAGAATGAGTCCAGAGAGTGACTCGCAAAGCAAAATGCAGAGAGAGAGAACCGCAACATACATTTTGTGTGTTTGTTGGTTGGTCTCGTCAGTCTGCACACTGCGCTACGTCTGACCTATATATGTCCCTCTTATCTACACTGTGTGTCATGTGAAGTGTGCATTTGCTGCATCTATCTTGGGTTCCAGGTAAAAGCTGGCACTCCTGTGTCATGATTACTTTGCATTTTACTGTCACAGAGAAAGTGGTGTCCCACAAGGCAGTATTTTCAGGTAATCAAATGTTTGCAATGATTCTCATTGTGTGTGACATGAATGAGATTTGTACACAAACGGCAATAATGGCAATTAAGTTTGTTTGTTTATTTGTTTGTTGTTTACGCCGCACTCAGCAATATTCCAGCTATATGACGGCGGTCTGGATAAAAATCGCGTGTGGACCAGACAATCCAGTGATTGACAACATGAACATCAATCCAGCAAATTGGGGTTGTTGACATGTATCAACCAAGTCAGGGAGCCTGACAACCCGGTCCCGTTAGTCGCCTTTTACGACAAACATAGTCACCTTTTACGGCAAGAATGGGTTGCTGAAGACCTATTCACCCAGGATCTGAAGGGCTGAAAAAAGTATGTAAAAGATACGCAAAATCTACATCATAATTAAAACTGTTGGCAGCAGGATAGAATGATCGTGTACAGGTTCAATTATGATGTTGATTTTGAGTATCTTTTAGACAGCAGGATACAATGATCGTGAGACCCGTGAAGATCCCTGTGCCGGCGGAGGACGGGAGTCTGGTGGTTGAGGGCACTGGATCAAGGAATAGCGTTCATTTGCCCAATACACCACTTCGACCCTTACTTCACCCTGCCGGGTGATAGGATGGACCCGGTCTTATCAGTCGGCTGGACATGTCGAGCCCTGTGCATTATTTTATTTGCACAAAATTTGAATTCCTATTTTGACTTATACTTTAAAACTTGACCCAATTATTATTATTATTTAAGCTTGATTTTGGATAGTGAAATCTTTCAGATGCCTAGAGTCCTATGCCCAGAAAGCGGTGGCTCATGGGCCAATCCGGTGGATTAATTAATTTCAGTATCCTTGGTGGCACTCGTGAAGAGCAACCTCACCATGGTGAGTGCTGGGTAATGCTAATAGCTCTTCCCCCGTTTGGACCCGGGGTAGAATATGTCCACAGCACACCATTGCTTGTCGTATGAAGCAACTAAATTAAGCAACCTGTTTGCCCGAGGTTGCGCCCCTGTGTCGGTGGAGGAAGGTAGTCTGCTGGTTAAGGGCACTGGTACTTTGACCCTGAGTGAGTGAGTGAGTGAGTGAGTTGGGTTAAACGCCGCTTTTAACAGTATTATAGTTATATCGCGGCGTGTCAGCTTAATGTGGGAGGAAAGCCCGAAGTGATGCAGGTCTCAGACGTTTACCACTTCGGTGAAACCCACGAGCACGGGTATGGTGCTGACAAACCTAGAAACATAATTGGGGCGAACCGGGATTCGAACCCACAATCATAGGTTTCTGGCGTGCCCAAGGGACGCAACTCTGCACAGCGAATCGCGGCGCCTTAGACGACTGGGCCACCCGTGCCCCTACTTTGACCCTGACTTCACCCAGATGGGTGGTAGAATGGGCCCGGTTCTATCAATCGGCTGGTCACGCGAAGCCCTGTGCATTAACATTGTCTTGCACAAGATTGAACAAACTATAAAATGATATGTCAACAGTTGCAATTAATCTGTTTATAATGACTCATTACAATGTGAAGTCAATTTGTTTTGCACATAAATGTTATATTAAATGTATGTTTTTGGGTCATGGTCACTCATTTCATTAAATTTCAATATATGTGGGGACAAAAATGAATACAAATCATTGCCTAGAGTCAAATATGGCCAGAAAGCAGTGGTTCATGGGCCAAACGGTAGATCTATTAATCTTACATTAATACTTCTGCTTGAGTATACTGCCCCAGTATCTTTGGTGCTGTCAGTTGGAGACCCACTGGCGTATAGCATTGTTTTATTGATACTCTGTGGTGGGTGAGGAGCTGGGGCGGTGAACCTCTATACACTTTCCATGATGCCACCAAAACAACTAAAACGTACGTTAGATGATATTACATCTGATGATAATACTGTTTCAAGAAACAAGTCTGACTTATGGTCTCGATTTTTGGTGATCTCAACATCTGATGATGGTCATTTGAAGATAAATCCCTTTGCTCTTTCTAAAGCAATTTATTGTATCGCTGGAGATGTCGTGACCATGAAAAAGATCCGATCTGGCTGTACCCTAGTCGAATGTAAATCTGCTTCGCTGTTGGCTATTAAACATCTTCTGTCTGTGCCAGTTACTGTATCAGCGCACAAATCACTCAACTGTTCAAAAGGCATTGTCAGGGACCGGGAACGTTGTCTCTCAGACATGTCTGAAGAGGATATAGCTTTTCAACTGAAAGACCAGGGTGTAACAGGTGTAAAACGATTTACCAAGAGACCGAACGGTCAAAATGAAAAGATAAACACGTATCTCTTTACCTTTTCTCTTCCGGTTCCACCAAAATCAATCAAAGAAGGTTATTGTAATATTGGTGTTGACAAGTACAAGTACATACCGAATCCACTCCGGTGTTACTCATGTCAAAAGTTTGGGCATGGTGCCCAATCATGTACCAACAGAAAGAAGTGTCACCCATGTGGATAACCTGATCATGATACATTAGACTGCTCAAACAATCCGAAATGTGCTAACTGCTCTGTGGATCGTGTTGCATCTTCAAAATCCTGTCCTGTCTGGCAACAACACCACCAGGCAGTAAAAATGAAACATGAGAGGAATATTTTTTTTTCAAATGCCAAACATTTGGTAATGTGATCTACCACTCCAACTGCAGCTGTATCATATTCAGCAGCCGTTACACGTACACCTAAAAGCTCCAGATCTGTTCACTCTGTTGAATGCCAGACAGACATCACCTGGGTTAAGACCATGAAGCATTCACTTCTCGATACTCAGTCTGTTGCATCTGCCCATACAAACTCTCCATCCAAATCACCGTCTCGTTTCAACATCTCGTTCACCATCTCGTTCACCATCTCCCACTGTGGTAAATGCCAACAAGACATTTAATTATTCACAGAAATCTGATCGAGTACCAAAAGGTCAACGTAATCCTGTCCAACTTTACAACAAATTTCAGATTCTGGAGGACAAGGATGTCACCTCCTGTTACATGAACACTAACTAGCCACTAATTCAGTGGAACTGCAGTGGGCTTAGGACCAATTTTAATGAAGTACAGTTATTGGTACAAGATGTTCAACCTTCTGTTTTCTGTCTTCAAGAAACACATTTAAAGCAGACAGATAAATTTTGATTTGCGTCAGTATAATGCTTACCATTCCTTTTCTCCACCAGGCCACAAAGCCACTGGAGGTTCCTCTATCTTGGTAAGGCAGGGTATTATACATAGCCCTGTTCATCTTAACACTACTCTTCAGGCTGTTGCCGTCCGTATAACTTTGCACCTTGCATTTACTCTGTGCTCTTTGTATGTACCTCCATCTTCTACTCACCAGCGATCTGAACTTCAGTCTTTATATGACCAGCTCCCTCAGCCCTGCATAATCATGGGTGATTTTAACGGACATAACCCTTTATGGGCACGTTGCAGCACTAACACACTAGAGGATTTCATATCGGACAATAGTCTATGTCTTTTTAATGATGGCTCCCACATGTATTTACACCCTGCAACAGGTAGTTATTCCGCCTTGGACCTTTCACTCACAGATGCAACCCTTTTGGATGAATTTTCGTGGTCAGTTCATGATGATCTATGTGGTAGTGACCACTTTCCTACAATTCTGACAGTCAATGATCCTTCTGACGTTTCTATATCCCTCGTCAACTTCGTTGGGCGGGGGATGTAGAAACGGGCACCGTCCGTCCGCCACGTTTCGTTTCGTTTCCGGAGCATAACTCAGAACCAGTAAATATATTTTCATGAAACTTAGCATGTCTGTACATGCTGAACTGGTGCCTTTTGCTATTTATAAATTTTTAGAATTTTTAAGTTTTTACGTTTCCATGGCAACAAGATGGAATTAGGTTCTGTGAGGGAAGGGTTCGTTTCTGGAGCCTAACTCATAAACCGTTAAATATTTTTTCATGAAACTTTGCAGGTGCGGCGTTAAACAACAAACAAACCAACCAACCAAACTTTTACTACATGTATTTAAATTTTTTGGAAATATATATATTTTTTATTTTTCCATGGCAACTTGGCAAGTTGAACTTTTAGACATTTATGAATTCTTCTTATAAAAAGGTTCCACTTGATACCCATTTAACCCGTTTAAGGATTCTTATGAGTCATAATAAAGGGGCGGTCGGGTAGCCTAGTGGTTAAAGCGTTCGCTCGTCACACCGACATGGGTACAATGTGTGAAGCATTTTTCTAGTGTCCCCCGCCGTGATATTGCTGGAATATTGCTAAAAGCGGCGTAAAACCATACTCACTCCCCATAATAAAGTTTTTTGTGTGGTATCTCCCACAGTAGGGGAAACTGTGCATGCCTTCTACCAAGTTGTCAGTATGTGCCTCAATAATGGTTGAGGGTAACTGTTGTTTAATGACTTCATTATCAAATCCATCATCCCTTCTTCTACATTGATTATGACAGAGATGAGTGTGCGATAAGATGGCATACTTCTCTATGAAACTTGTTACAGTTTTCAGCACATGTTGATATGAAGACTTTTAGAGTTTTTACATTCACATTTATAATATTGTCTTGTTTGTTTTTTCACTTTATCATAGCACATTGTATGACCTTATTGTTAAAAAGCACATTGTATGACCTTATTGTTAAAAAGCCACAACATAAAATGTGTGGCACTCATGGCAGCCTACTTCCTCGCAGTGAGTGCCGGTAACATGACTTGTAATGTTTTTTCTTTCTCCCACCCAAATGAATTCAGTAGTAAATGTAGTAACTTGTTTTGTCAGTTTGTACTTCCATCATGTTTTTCTTGAATTTCATAGAAATTGTGAAACTATAGAAACTATAGCTTTTTAATATACCATT